AGCAGAAGCCTGTCACAACGACGTCCCTCTTGCGGTGGGAAACTCGCATCTACCGGACAGGTAATTAGCCCTTTGGCAGACGCGCACCTGTCAGAGCACTGCACTACATAAACCGCATCTAACCAAACAGCAAGTGCAAATCCTCCCTGCACACACCCCCACCAGCCCCTTCCTGCAGGTCTTGCCTTGGCAGCCATCCTTGGCCCCCACAATGCCTTGGGGCATCGGTCCTTTCCATTCCAGAGGGAAAAAAAGGGGGAAGCGAGGCTGCCCAGGAATGTCAATCAGTCCTGTAATGTTTTAGCCCCGTTAGCTGCTAGCGTGCCCCTGCGAGTCTCAGCCAATCAGAGCCATTCGGATGCACTGTTTGTTAGCTGCTACCGTGCCCCTTAACACGCACACACACATGCTCTGTATGCACACACACACACACACACACACACAAAATGACAGCAGACACCCAGGTGGTCCGACAGGCTACAAGCTTGGCTATGGTGCGGATCCCGTGCCTCTGTCCTAAAAACTGCTTTCTGAGGCACGGCAGACGGTCCTTGTTGTACTTTTTGCTACCTTGACGATGCGCTAAAATCCACAGGAACGCCGTGACTTGGCTCAGAGCGCCAGTCAAACTGATGGCGAATACCGGGTGATGACAGCAGCAACCCCCCCCCCCCGCCCCCCCCGATAGCATCTCAGTGCCTTTGCCATGCAGGCTGACAATCGGGGATCTTGTGTTCTGCTCATTCTCCTCGATTATGCTGCCTTTGGTGACCACCTGCACTGAAGAAAAGAAAACTGATTTGAAAATACTGCATCTTGTCGAGAAGCTGTAAAGAGACGATTAACAGTCCTATTGACAGCTGTCGAAATTTCTATCTGAAGGGTAACTCTCATGGCTAAAAAAAATGCCTTCCCTTTGTCTGTTTTTAGCAATAAATGCACAGATTAACCTGTGTGTGTGTGTGGGGGGGGGGGGGTTAAAGGGTCACTGCTGTCCTCCTGAATGCCCTCAGTCCATAAGTTCTGGGGAGGGGGGGGGGGGCTGTGAATCATCGCCATACGCCATCAGCTGACAGACCTTAAAATGGTAAATTTAGTTCTTTTATCAGGAACACTAGGGTGTATTAAAGAGTAAATGCTTAAAGGGAAATAATGCTTTGTTTGCCATTTATCCTGCACTCCTGGAGTAACCAGGGATTAAGGGCTTTGCTCAGAAACCCCAAAGGCAGCATCAGTCTGCTGGCCCCGGGATTCAAACTAGCGACCTACTGATTACGGACACAGAGTCCTTACCCACCTTGGGGTGACACAGCTGCAGATAAAACTCAGGCAGGGTGATCTGGCCCCTTAGCTTGTTAGTCCGAAACTGTTGTCATTTGTTAGGTGAGGATTTTCGAAACCTTGCGAATACCGGCCCACGCAGAATCCCCCAGCATGCACTGCGGCAATTAGCCCATGTTCAGGGATCCCGCCACGTTACTTGGACAGCCCCTGTGGTGGGTTCTGTCATCAATCGGCACCGCCTGGGATGGCAGGTGGCATTAAAGTTAAGGGCCTGGTAGGTTCTGGGCTTCAGTCCAGGGAGGGGCAGGACCATGGAGGAAACACACTTAACCCATCCTGTGTTCATGCAAACACCATTAAACCCAGTGACGGTACCAGGATGTCTTCCTGGGGTGGCTATTTGGGTATGTTGGGTCGGTGCCAGGGTTCGAATTCTGTCAAAGATCTCGGGGGGTTGGGGGGATCCCATAGTCACTCCAGTGATTAAATCTCTCCTCTGGCCAACAGTGGCCATGAACAGACTATGTTACACAGCCATGGCGTGCTCCAGGTGGATGATGGGTACTGCGTGGCATCAAATTTTATTTACAAAGGAGAAGTCAAACTCGTACGTCTGTCTGATTGGGGTCCGCTTGTCCAATAACCGCCCCCCCGTGTACAGCACCGTTGGTCTCTGTTTGGCAGGCAGGTTTAACCCCCCTGCTCGATTACGTTGATCGAGTACTACCCTCTCTGCCCCCCCCCCCCACTCCCCTCTCCCCCCGCGCTCCATGGGCACACTCTGTAAATCTCTTCCTGAGAAGGTTAGGCGAGACTTGTTTGCTAATGCAAATGTGGGATTACGCTTCAGCCCCCTCTCTCTGTCCGATCCTCCTCCCTCTGCCTCTGATTCCCCGGCCACGCCAGGCAGCACGCTGATATTTGATCTGTCTCCCCCCCCCCCGTACTCATTCTCTTTCACCACACAACCAACAATCCACTTTCTCATCCCTTTCTCTGTAAGCCCACTCGAGTGGCTCTCCCAGCTCTCACTGCCGCCTCGATTGCCTTGGGAAGCTGGATCTTACAGGAAAACGACCCTCCAGGAATGAGGACTCCATTCACTCGGCCAGAAATCCAGTTTTAAAGGACTGATGAATTAACTGGCTAATGTTCTGCTCTTAACCCTACAAGGTTCAAGGTCCACATGATCCGACGCCAACTGGAATGTTGATGTTGATATTGCAGAAATGGCAGGAGCGAACAGATTTGGCACAATGACCTCATCAGACACCATTCCTCCTTAATGACGTTTCCTAAAGCTGAAGCTGAGATCTGCTTGACGGCAGTTCGTCGCTCTGAGGCTCGTCTGCTTCACGGCGAAGCCTTTCGCTGCTACAGTCTCTGATGCTTCTGACATTGTTACGGCCCTCCCCATCCAAGGTGCCCCTACCCACCCCCACCTCCTCCGCCATGTCATGGCGCTGCAGGTGCAGCTGGTGCTGCAGCCCAGAGTGCCACGAGGCACGTGGGCCAGGGTTCGGGGCACCGTGCCAACCTGCCGCGCTCCCAATCTGTCTACTGTAACATTTGAGGTGATTCAGCACCAGCGTTTAAACAGAAGGGGCAGAACTTAGACCAAAGAAGGCTCCTACCAGCCAGGTGCTGGAATGGGGGGGGGGGTGTTTGTATTCCACCTCCCTTCCGAATTAGGCCTCTTAAAATTAGTCTGCATTCAGGATGAGAGCCCCCGGCTTCAGCTACGCTGTTAAAACTGTAACAAAGAGCTACAAATTTGCCATTTTTTACTCTTCAATGTCTTCAGAATCCTTTTTAGGGAGGTAAACAGACATTTTGCTCCAGATTTACCACTGAGTGTTACCTTTAGAGATTCACATGGCAGGTAAAAGTGAATCAATATTAATAAGCAGCAAGTGAAACATTGTGGCACAAAACAGTCCAATGGATAGTTTTTTGAGCATCTGTAGCTCGAAAGAAAAAAACAGCTCTTCAAATTCAAAATGCTTCACTAGCAACCTATTGTAGCTAAATTTATCATGGGCTGATGTTAATCAGATTTTGCTAAAGGCCAAAAAGCAGTTTTTTTTGTCGTTGCTGGAGGTTCTTCCTGTGCTAAAGAACTCAGACGGGAACTTCGCTCCGACCTGTTCAGTTTCCAGCTCCGTGGCGCTAAAAAGAGCAGCCGATATTTACATAAGAATGCATTCCAGTTCCTTTCCTTTATTTCAAACTAAACTTCTTTTCAAAAGCGAGAACGATGCCGAGACGGAACCGAGCTTCTTGTGTGGCTTTTCCCTGCTTATCTGCCAGCTTTCAGCGTAAAATCCTTACGCCGTTCCAAATACCCAGCTGAAAGAAGCCCCTCTTAGCGGATACAACATCGTGGGTAATTTGCAACAGGCTAAACGGATAAATAAGGCCACACACTAAGACTAAGGTTCCGTGTTTGAGTCGCTCAATCCAATGCGTGGCGATCGTCGGAACCAGATTACCCATCAGCCCCATCCACAGGCTGTTTCGATGGGCCCACTCGACCTGGTGGTGTGTCCGCGCGCCTGATCTCTCACGGAGAAGGAGGGGAGGGACATATTTTAAGTGGTGCATTAAAATTTTGTTAGGAAATGGACTGTCTTTAGTTATTTATACTTTGTATTTCTCCAGGCACATTTACATTCGCGGATTTACGGCGCGGCCATAAACAAGCCACTAGAACTAAAAACTGGTCGATAAACGCCCGCCGAAACGATCAAAAGCACCAACCCCTGCACACTCTTTTATTGACCACTAAAATAAAATGGAAGCAGGCAGGGGGAGCCGGCGTGGCGAGCTGGGCGAGCTGGGCATCACAGAACTCCGTCATGGTGGCCTTCTGGGGCAAATAAAGAAGGCAGGGGGCTGTGAGCACCACCTACAGGACAAGCACAGTATTACCATGTCCACATGCATGCATATTCTCTAGATCTGGCACACATAAACCCCACATCTGTGAATTTCATAGGCCCCTCCCTTTTTTCTCTCTCTCTCTCTCTCTCTCCCTCCACCCCCAAATCTCATCACTTCATTTAAATGCATCGGGGGAGTTTTGCCAGAGTAGCTAAAACCCCAGTACTTTTTTGTATCATCTTTTTTTTTTCTTTTTCGCTTGTAGAGTTTGAGTGAGTTGAGAGAGGTCGCATGCATGCCCAGCGTGAGGCTTAAACGATTGGATGTCTGTTCTGTCACACCTCTGGAGTGCTTCTCGGACCTGCTGCCGTGTTCTGATCGCTGAGAAATCAAACCAAATCATTTCCCACATTCACTGTGTGACCAGTCTCTGGCAGAACCTCGAGCTGCAGAACCTTCCAGAGGGCCAGCAGTCCTGCAAATACATCAATACGGCCAAAAATGCGACTACCGAAAACCCTTCTGGAACCTTCCATCATCAGTGCGCTTTCTGACTCTCTTGAAAACTTGTTTTCTACCATCGTCAGACTCATGACCAATTTTTTTTTCCATCCTTACTTTTCCTATTTAAATTCATTCACTTATTCCAAGGCTTTGAAATTAAATTAAATGCATTTTTAATTATTTTCTCCCACCATGATAATGCAGAAATTTACGTTCTACCATCTCACTTTAATCACTTATTCTGATGAGAATTTTAGCCACTCTGCTGACATGCAGGAAGGCCGTTTCAAACTCACATCTCCGTTTCTGTAGATGCTCCCGCCATCCCAAACGTATCCGTCACCCCGGCTTGACTTCCGGCCAGAACGCATCCCACAGTAAAGCCACCTTAACGCATTATGATCCCTGATCTGTGACTGAAAGCAGGATCTCGGCCAGCCCTGGTGAGCAGCATAGTGACATTCTTGTCTCTGAATGCTTAGCGCACATGAACGCGAAGGAGAAACGACTTAAGAGGTTCTAACAAGCGTTAGCATCGAGTGCATTAGTCACAAATGAGCAAGAATGCTCCTTGTTCTACATGGGTGAGTTCACCTCTTTACCGTAGTAGGCCTACGTTTCGGCTTTAAAAACTGCAGCGATGTGGTTCCAGAGCTACTCGATTTGACATGACAGAAAAATCTCTGCGCATCAGGGGTCGACGCCTCGGTGAATTCTGACGGACATCAAAATGCTATTTTTACCACGTACGTGGCATTTAAAACGTAGCCTACAACCGATTTCTTTTCCTCAATCAAGATGTTTTGTCACGGACACGTTTGTCCGTGTACAGACAAGTTCATGATCTCTGCTGGGGCAACAAGACCTATATAATATTCGGGATTATGAAACTGCATTTTACTGTGAGAGGCCAAGACCGATTTAGGAATCTAGGCACCTCAGACCCCGAGGTTACAGCGAAATAGGGAGAAAATGTGTGTCATCTTGGTACCAGTAATAATATACAGGACATCTCCAAGACAGGTGTGAGCAGAGCTACACAGTCTATGAGAGATGTCCTTCTCGAGACGGCCCAGTTCAGGTGGGGGCATTGCTGGGTCCAGGAGAAACGCCCAAACCAACTCTAGTCCTGAACGGGGCTTCAAAGAAGCAGACTTAACTCTCAACACAGCATGTACCGCACAACCCACTTTGAGCGAACCAAAGACAGCACGAATCAATAATAAGCATACAGACGGAGTGGTGCTTTCGGTTTGGTGCGTAAGGACAGATTAAAAACACCAAGACTGTTTAGCCTAAGTAAATTTCATGAAAAAGAATCGAAGAAGAAAATAAATATGATCCTAACATTCAAGCAGAACATTTAAGCACTAATTTGGGTTTTATTAACACACATAGGCCTACAGCAGAAACGCAGTATTTTTACTGTGAGAAAAAAAAACAAGCTTTCCTTAAAACCGGGAAATGTGGGTCTTTCCCAGGCTTACGTATCTCATATAGTCCTCCACCGGTTTTATGTCAAATTTTGTTCAGCCACTTTAGCGCATTTACTTTTTACAGTCTGCTAGAAATACCGCGGCACTCGACATTTTCCAGAGGCATAAAAAAGTAACAGAATCAGCGATGCTAAAGTGAAGATAAAAGTCGCTGATGAGCGCCGGGTTTATAACGCCTCGGGAGCGCTTGGCCGTTTAAAGCGCTGCTTTCCGGCAAGACGGCACCGCAAAGCGATCCCACTCCTGCTTCTGCAATCCCCCTAACACTACATTTATGGGAGAATACATTACTGTATCGTTTCTGTTTGTAATTGGAAAAAAAAACTGATCTTACTTTCTAATTTCGAATCACTTTTTTTTGGAAGGGAGGGAGCGGGGTCTCATCTTAATTGTTCTACCTGTAGCGTTAATCTCCCCCATCCACCAGGACCGTGACAGCCTTAGGGGTCATTTACATTAACACAAGATATAATCGCCAATACTGTCGTTCAGATGTAGCGAGCCATTCCCCTTTCTTCAGATTAACATCAAAAGCTCCAGAGAAATCGGACACATTACGTTTCTATACAGTATTCTTTACTGCCATCTGAGTCTGTTCGGAATATGGCCACGCAAAAAGTCACCCGTAAATAAATAAGACCAGTGAAAATCGCTTATAAATTACGTTAGGGTGATTAAAGGGAGGAAGCGGAGTAGAAGTAGTTTATTTATAGCTGAGCTTGACTTGCTTTGTGTCTTTTTCAACTAGATCATTTTAATGCGCAACATAAACAAAGATGTACGATTTCAGCGTTGGTAATCTTCAGTATAGAATCGTTGTCGGATCGGCCAGTTTATTTATATAGAGACAGCAGTTTTACCTTTAAATTGTTTCCACCTGATATGCGTATGTATGGTGTGCAAAGTGTCCCCTCTGACAATAACAGGAATGGGCCGTGCATGGCAACAGGCCATAGCATTATCGTGTGCATGATTTTAATAACCTAACAGTAATTATTATACGTGCTTTTCCTGCACTTGTTAGCATGTACTCTGCCGTGACACTGTCGGGACCCCCTCCTATGCTGGCTACGCGCTGCGTTTCACAAACAGCCACTTACGTCGTATCTGAAAATGGTAAGGCACGAGGGAAATAATCTGAAGACTATGCAAAGACTGTGTACAGAATAATAGTAAGAATACAGCGATATTCCTGTCGTGATCACGGAATGAACAAAACTTTAAATTAAATTCTAAACTTCTCCAAAAATGCATGATTTCACCCTTACCTTTCCAACAGGAAACCAGTTCGGCAGGGATAATCTGACAAAGAAAAACAAGTACAAATCCATAAACTAAGTGAGCCACCGGTGTATTATAAGTTTGACATAAAAAAATCCAGCATCAGTCGCGATCGTGCGAGTACTTGTACAGTGATCTCGCAGCATCAGTCTGTAGATGCGGCTCTGCGTGCCTGACTTCCTCCCTGCGTGTCACTAATCCCTCCTTTCATTCTCTTATTTCGATCAGCGATAATCCGCACGTCCCGGTTCTCACGACGTACCCTCGCCTCGCAGTCCCACGTTGCTCTCCGTACACAGACCTCAGAGCCCAGCTGTTTTCAAGCCGGGCGATCGGGCTCTGCGCGCATGCGCTCTGAGCCGAAGGCGCTCCTGGGTCCGCTGCCTGTTTTTGGCGTCTCCCTTTGACACCAGTTCACAGAGCGCGTCAAAACGTGACTATTTATTTATTTAGTTATTTATTTAATTAATTAATATTCAGAGCTCAGATTCAGTGCGCAGATGTAAATGCTGGTTACATTCGCCTTTACGTTGTGTTTTTTAAACCTACATATGAAAGGGCGATATTCCCCTATCCATGCAAAAGACAAGTAACTGGGCATCACTGAATATGCGCGTGATTTAATTAATAACCCTCATAGTGATCGCCGAGAAACATTGCCTTGTCTTACAATGACAGCTGCTAACACAATAATTTTTTAGGTCGGCGCGCAAGTTTTCTGCCCATTTTTCAAAGAATATAGATAGTTCCAGGTATGACCACGTGCTGCGATGTAAGTTGGCTTTAACCTGCAGTTTGGCGGGGACGCAATAATACATTAATTGAATGAATAATTTGTGAAATGCAACCGCTTTAATCGTGATCAATGTAGTCTATTCTATATAACGTAAATTAAACATATAGAAATATACATATCTATAGTGTCATGGATTTGGGCGCACTTGCATGACTTGAGCAGTTTTCAGTGAAAGCATTAGATCAAATGAAATGTGTTAATTGGAATATTATTATATGGGGCAAACGACTGTCTGGTTGTAATTATCTGTCTGCCATTAAGGGTACGCTAGCAGGGTATTAACGACTCCACAAGGCTAGCCTGCAGGCTGCCAGTGCCAAAGAAAGGCGATTTAAAAACTTTGGCACAGCGTGGTGAATGATTACTATTCAGCCGGAGTGATTTTGCGTGTCCTTTTCAAAATGAAGACCATTGTTACATAGTGCAGTTTAATTTGATAGCAGCCCCTCGGTCATTCAGGGCTTTAAATTGCTGTGTCTATGCATTACCTTTTAAAATGTTAGATGTTTAAATCTTGGTAATTGGTGTACTTACGTTGAATTGTCAAACTGGTACTGTCGTAATCAGTACAAATCTTAGGAAAACAATTAGCCATTCCCATCTTGATTAAGGACGGTATACCTATGGCTATTTTATATTATCAAGTGAAGGGTGTTATGATACTGAGACGGTTAAAAACGATGCATGATGAATGCGCACGGGAATCACACACTGACTTTATTAGCCATTATGCCTGAGTTAATGCTTAACATATCTGTTTTCGTGATCTAATTACAGTATCCAGGCCATCCATTAATAAACCGAATTTCTCGTCATACGAAACGTACTGTAGGGAGGATATGTGAGTGCAGCATTCTGTGTGTTTGTTATTGCTGCCTCACAAGCTAGGGGATTTTACTTCCAGGGCACCATGATCTTAGTCAGTACATAGCTGGCCTTGCATTTCTGCAAATACTCGGAGATCGCTGTGTGATGTCATACATACAGCGTATAAATAAATGACAGACCATAGTTAGGTGTGTATATGTGCTTCTGGCATCTCCTCTTGTTGCTCTTGATCTCTAGCTATGTTTCTGGTTTCTATTTGATGTTTAAAAGGAAATTCCACCCCACATTGATCATTAATGTGATTTTGCACTGACTGTGAAGCCTGTTTGAAAGTCACATTGTCTTACCGTTATGGTACCCTGAGACAGACAGGCGGTGCTGTTTACAGCTCGTTAATGCATTTTTTGTTTCTGCTTACTGTGGATACACAATAATATGATTCTAGGTTAAAAAAAAAATTGCATTCATGATAAAATGTATTCTTTTTTTTCCAGATATGGGAAATCATTACGTGTCAAAGTCTTAAATCCGCAATTACCAAGCTTCTTGACAACTGAACGACTAAGTTTAGACTTTCTGCACAATAACAGTTTTCCTGTTATTGATGAGTATGAGTATCTAACCATGATCAGAATGTGAAATCTGTTAAATAAAACAATTCATTTGTAAACCTGTTTTAAATGTATTGTATGTTTGGAATTATCCGGCCATAGTCCAACCGATTATCCAATACAGGACCATGGATTCATCGTCAGACTGCTTTTCCTGTACAGCTTTGTGGATTTAGAATTATTAAACTAAATTTATCTGATTTTATAATAGCATCTTCCAACTGCTTATCAAGTACAAGGTTGTAGAGGCATATGAAATTTGATTATTATTATTATTATAAAGAATGGATTTGCAAATGAGTGTTTATTTGTATTTTTATATCCAGTCTGCGTGGGCGTTTATAATTGGCTGTATGTCACATTGCTTACGGTGTACAGCCTGTCAAAGCAAAATCTTTTTGTAGTTTTATGACAGCATAAAGGCTTTATAAGTTTGTGTCTATTTTTATTGTGGATAAAATTAACTGCCTTTCCAAACATTTGCTCTTTGTGCAGTCTTCTCTGTCTGTATGGCGTTCTGTCTGCATATATGTCACTGGATCTCTAAGGATTCCTCTGACTTTTTTTTATGCTGTTCTTTTTTTAGTATTATCCCATTTTAAGCATAAATATTGTGTGCCGTAATAACATTTATGGAATCCCAAAAGGTTATTGTTTTGATTTATAGCAGTGAATCAGTCTAGCAACATTAATTACATAAATGATTATAATGTGTACATTATAATAATGCATGAATTGTTTTTTTTTATTGTTGTTGTTATTGTGTCTCTGAGTGATAGAAATCCAGCCCATTTTGTGAGAGAGCTGTTAATTAACTTTGTATTGCTTTCGTGTTCCCAGGCGAGTGCTGAAGCTCTCCCCATAATGGTGACAGAGACATGGTACCCTTGGAGACGGCCGGTCCACATCCCGTGGTCAGAACCCTGCCACCTTTCATGGGGTCAAAGGTCAGTGTCTTCTGTGGCGTGTTCCATCACTGGCATGTGTAATTCTAGAACTTTGCTGTTGTATGTGTGTGTTGTTTCTCCACTAAATTCTGCCTAATTAGTGAGGAAGAAGCAGCCTCACTGGCTGCTCATTACTCACTAATTAAGTCTAGTAATTAAAAAAGAAAAAACTCTCTAAGCCTCCAAGGCGTGGCTGCGAGTCATTTTCACACCCTTCAGTGCTCGTGAGGTTTGGTAAGCAAGCATTTCATTGTACTTGTACTTGTTCAGATGACAATAAAGCACTGGCACCCTTGAATCCTTTTGAACTTGCCATATCCTCTGGTATCTTGGCAAGCCTGTCCGTATCCAAGGTTGTATGGGCCACCTGCCCGTAACCCTTGGTGATCCGGCCGGCTTCCTCCCCTCGTTATGGAGGTGTCTGTTTCAGAAGCTTGTGCTCCTGTCGCTGATGCTGCCAGGGGTGGCTGTGACATCCGGGCCACGCACAAAGACGGCTGAAGGGAAATGCCACGATGTGCAAAGAGCTCTCGCTTTACACGGATCCCCGTGCCCTAGGGGCGGGGGTACCCTGGCAGATTCCAGGGGCCCAACACTTTACAAGGGACCTTCAATACAGAAAGATATAGGTGGCAAATGGGTGCCACCCAGTCCATATATCGTGGTATCGTCCCATATTGCAAAACAAAAAAAAGCCAAAAATACGTGGTTAGTCTTGTATTTTCGTATTCTCTCCTAGCAGATTATATTATCGGGAACCCTGGGGGGTGGCGTTTTCATTCATGGCACAGATTGAAACTGACAGTCCTGGTGGGGTGGGGGGGCAAGGTAACATTTTTTCAGGGGGTCTATAATCTCTAGCTATGCCCCATGAAGCCTTGCCCCATACTTTGTAAGAGCTGCTGTTATCGCCATTTGAAGCACTTCACCTTAAGAGCTGTTTAACATGCGTGATGCGTTTCGATCTCAACATCTGAGCTTCCCGGCCGCGTCTCTCCGCCAAATTGGAGGCGCTCTTTGAATTCCGGCGACGTTGCCGCTGTCGTCTTGGGCAGAACGCGCGGCTGTCGCGGAATTCGCTTAACACAGCATGGTGTGCGTGCCGGTGTTTATGTGCGGCCTGATAGTGAGCGACACGGGTACCTACTGACTGGACGGAGAGGTTGAGAAGGACGTGTGAGAACCATGTGTCGGTATTTATTTTGAAGGAATTCGTTTTTTACGTCAGTCGTCTAGGTTAGCCTTGCAGATAGCCACTTCCTGTGCAAACATGGACAGCTTTTACTGTCGTCGTATGCTTTTGTCTCTAAGCTGGACAGCATCCCTAGAATCATCCTGCTCTGTATCTTCCCACCCTTCCCACTAAAAGGTTTTTTATTAACGCTGAGGGGGCGGGTATATCGGAGTCAGAGGTGTGACATCACATCGCCTTATAAGGCAATTCTGTAGTTGCACTGTATACAGTTTGTTTTTTTCTTTATAAATTATTGCTGTTATAGTTACAATATATAATGTGAAATTTATCTTTCCATTTTACTGTTATCTTCACTAATATGGTAGTTTAAGTGCGTTAAGTCCCACATTATGTATGCAGAATTACACAGGAATTATTAAAATTATGCACAATTTGCGAGACTGTGAGGGCATTCATTGTGGAAATTTCCCTCACCTCAGGGTCAACTGTGATGCCCCTGTCTCTCTGCTGCACCCTGTCTCTCATAAACACATCCTAACTTTCCGAGAAAGAAACAAAACACACATAAAATAGCGACTAGAAGATATGAGTAAATATTGGAGATTTACTGACTCCCTCCTTGGTAATAAATGGGGCATTCAGCCAGCACTGTTTATGAACTAAATGATTCTGAGTTTCTGGTGACTGAGTAACTAACTTTATGGCATTTTCCAAATAAATGCCAGGTCTGGCCCCATTTTTTGACCAGCTTCTTACTCATTCTTATACCGTAACAGCAAACACAGCGGGATGCGAATTGTGACTGACACAAACGCCACGTACCACTGTGTTAGCAGCGTTGCTATTTATGCTGTGCTGTTAACTAACCACGCTAGTTGCAGTTTGCACAATCAAATAAGATAATCCTTATGAAACGTAATCGACAGGAGACAATTAAATTCCACCATTTCACATAGCATTTTATTGATTAACTGTGGGATGTGATACAAGGTCTTCAATGAGTGAAGTTTACATACAAAGCGCTCAGCACTCAGCGTTCTCTAGTCTCTATGTTCATCTTCTCTTTTCTCACGGGTCTGGAAGTGAGAGTCTGCCTGCTGGAGAGGGAGCTGAGAATGAACCGTTCTAACGGAGGATAAGGGGTTCTCCAAATAAAATCTATAAAACTTTCAATTATGTAATGAGATATATTAATCATGCCTATTTTTTGTAAACCAGGCATTATATGTGATATTATCAACATTGGGGGGGACGTCCCCCATCCCCCCCTCCAACCTCCCCCTAAATCTACATCTATGGCCATAGGCTGGTGTGAAAGGCCCCCCAAGAGTTGCAGTAGCTTTAAGAAACAATTTTCAGGAGGAAAAGCACGAGGTGGATTTTTCGGATATGTGGGGGCGGCTCACTGATGGTTATGACACGACACCTTGGAGAACGCCAACTACTGCCTGGTTCTGCGAGATGCTAGCATGGCACTCAGAGGCTCTAGGTACACCCTTACACCCCCTCACTCACTTGGCCCTGCCATACCCGTGCCAGATCGGTCACCCTCTGTTGGAGTTCAGCGTGCATCAATGTGGTCCGTTTTCATCGGCCTCTCGGGCAAGGACGCCTACTGGGCCGCTTGAAGTGTGAGAAATCTCTTAACTACTCAGTGCTACAGGGCTGATGAAGACCTAGATGAATGGAGTGTCTTTGATGCTCGAAGGAACTTTTCACCGTGGTCTTCAATCATTGCCCAAATTTTCCCACATCGGGTCCGGTCCTCGAGGGCGTAAATGGCTGTAAGATTCAGATAATGTTGAATGTGAAAAATAACAATTGCATGTTTCCACCTTGCCATGTTGTAAACGTCCCTCCCGTGGTTTTAGAATCTATATTTCAGGAAGCTGTACTGCAGAAAGCAGTGGCTTTATCCTATCTGTCTGGCATTCAATGACGAGGGTCTTCCTGCAAGATCGTCGCTTTCCTGCCTCTGCCTGAATAGCAGACAGATGACCAGAGGACTACATCTTGCTCTCCAGAGGCCTAAATCTTGCTCTGGGTATCCATTCCTCCCACTGGATGTTCAAATGAGTCCTTGACTTAAATAAATTCCCACCATCTATTCTAACTGCCATGGATACAAGTGTATTTATCAGAGCTGCACGCAAAGCCGGTTTGGCCTCCTGACTTAGCAAGTGCTTAACACTGCATATGTGCTGGTGCGTGACCAGTACCATCCAGGGCGACAAAGGCCCCGTTAAGGTCACAGCTTCCTGTCTATGGCTGTGCCAGCAACAAGGTCAGGGTCTTAATAGTTCCTGCTGGCTACCTGGGCTGGTGTCCAGCACTCGGATCAGTATCTCTGGAGCATCCAGATATGCTTTCCCATCGCTGATGCACAATGCATCATTGCTCTATACAACAGGCTCCCCAATGCTCTATTAGTCTACACAACTGTATATCCCTTGCTGGTCTCATGTTCCCTGAATGCTCTTTGTCTTTTGATTGAATAGTCTTGTTAGGTTCTTGCTATACCTGCAGTGCATTGTATATTTTTCCATCTAATACCACTTATCTGGGGCATTGCTAGGACCTTACAACACTGGGGGCTTTGCCAAGAGACCTTATTTGTCCGAGAGTCATCATATTGAATCCTCTCACTCAGAAGTTATGATCACAACAACAACAACAGACATGCTTTGTTCGCCATATGCACTAAAAATGCTTCTTTTCACTGACCCCCATCTTGCTCTCTCTAGCTTGGGGCCCACAGCATAGGGTCAGCCAATGGGCAGCGCCTCTAGAGCTGGGGGTTAAAGGCTTTGCTGAAGGGCCCACGGACACGTGACTATTCTGCCAAGACCGGGGCTCAAACCGGCGATCTTTTGATCACAGGCACAGAGACTGAGCCTGCTGAGCCACTCACTGCCTCCTGTGATGATCCTAGTACTACGGAGATTTTGAGAAACGTGTCCATGGACTGGGACTGTTGTGATGAATGGTGTTCTCACGGCGAGAGCATGGTTGTTAAAACATCTGAGGCAAATCATTCGGGCTCATTTGAATTCATTTGGGGTTTCAGCCAGGATCTTGGGCTGTGTGTTTGATGGGCATGTTGAGCTGCAGGTCGCACATCCGCGTCCATGGAGTTCCACAGCTCGTCCTCCCTGTCACCCATGGAATTCAGTCAGTTCTTCTGCTTCTCCCTCTCCGCTTTGGTTTCTGTCCAAGCTCCTCCGTTGGATCAGAAGCGGTTAAGACTCGGGCGCCTGGTTACCGAAGAGCGAGGCTGACCTTCAACAAAGAGCAGCTTTCATTGAGAGGGACATGGGAACGCAGGAGTCGGCATTGGCCGCAGATACGCTGGGAGAGCGGCGAGCGGCAGATGACGGATGTGCCGGTGAAAGCGATGAGGCGAGGGAGACCTTATCAGTGGGAGGAAGGCTGGTGGGAGCGTCACGACTTTTAGCGCAAATCCCAGAGATGTCCCCATCGTGTCTTTTGAGGATTCCATAGTGCCGACACCAGCTATCCCGACCCCCGCCTCTGAATGGCGGCATTGTCACCCCCGCGCGCCAACGTTACAGCAGCTGAGCTGTACAAAAGCGGCCACGGTAATGGCATCCCTGTGGGGGCCTCCATTTTTTTGGCCGGTCCCCGCTGCTTGTTTGGCGAGGCCCACACGGCGGAGCTTCATTCCCCCCAGGCAAGCCGCCGTTTTTTTTTTTTGTACGTGTGGGACGTTGCACGGTAACCCCGTTTCTGAATATTGTTCCCAAAGCATGGCGTCGCCCGGCGACAGGGAGGAACACAAATGGTGGCTAATCCTGGCACGCTCCAGTGTGCTGGGCGCACAGACACCATTCCGTCTGAAGTGCTTTCACCACCTCATCTAGCTGGCACTCAGAAATTCTGTGGATTCGACGCGTTAAATAAAAACACTACATTATGTTTGCAGAATTCTGTTTACAAATTCAATTGTATACAGTTTTATGTATAAGTATCATTTTACATGTAAATTGTATATCACAGTTATTATATGGTGTTTGTAACACAACCTTGTTGTGGCACAGTTTACAAACAAAAGAACCCAGACTTACAAAAGATCCTGTAGGTATTATCTTCTCTTGTAATGCCGGTATACAATGCAGCTCTTATCTGTTGTTATAACAAACCTCCTTCATGATGATTTTAAGCAAACCAGTTATGCTTCACCAGGATGTCAGTGGAATTCTGGGTCAAATCATTTGGTTAATATGTTTTTAAGTGAGATATTTTCTTTTGGAGATATGTTGTATGCATGCACCCTGAAAGAAATAATTGTAAGACTTCACTTAAAGCTGTATTCTATAACATGATAGATACTTTTATAAAGCATTATAACGGTTGGTATAAGAATTAATAAAGCATTACATCATCTTATACTGACAGTCATAACCCATTATAGTGTTGATTATAATACTTCATAAGCTTCAATGGGGCTCGTCCATAAAGCACTATAGGTACTTTCATAATGCATTATAATAGTCAGTATACGAATTAAGGATGCTTTGTACTGCAATATGAAGGTATCTACAGTGCATTATAGATGAGGCACTTCATAAGGCAGTCATAATGCATAATAAACATGGCTATGATGTGTTGTGCCTTTCAATAAATATTTATAGCCATGTTTATAATGCTATATGAATGCATTATAATATGTTATGAATGTGTTCATAGATTGTCATAGTTATGGCATATATAGAAAGTATTACCAAAATAGTTTGTCCTCTGTACTAATTTGATGCCAAATGTGATTATGATCAATGAAATGTTTCCATGATATAATCAGTATAATGTACTTCTTCAGATGTTCACATGAACCTTGTAAGGTTAAGGTAATACGTTATACTTCTAAAATTACTTAATGTGTAGGTGTATAAGACACACTATTGGAAACTAGTATTAGATCCTTTGCCTTAGGACCTAATTGATTAATTGAAATGGTAGCTAAAGCAAATATACAAAGGGTGGCTTCAGGACCGGGACTGAGCGTCCATGTTGTTAATGTCTGTCATTGCAATTTCCCATGGTCCTGCAGCATCCTGCTCTGCAGCCTGGACACACCATCTCTGCTGAGTACCATACCTAACTACCTGGGCAAGGCTGCAACCCCAGGAATTTACCAGGCATTCATTATCGTCTCTTTTCCCCTCGTTCTGTTTAAATGACGGCTGTTCAAATGTGACAAATCCTGAAGGAGGTAGGAAGGATACAGACCAGATACCGTGTTTTATTTATTTATTTTCTCTCTCTTATCTTTAAAGTTTTCTTACTTCTGTTTGTCAAACTCCTAGTGACCCGTCTGTGATGCTAATGAAAGCTGACAGCGCACAAAAGACTTTTTCGGTGGCGCTGTGCTCTGCGAGTCCACCAATCACCTCTGTGGACCTTGTGAATATAGCCGGTCTGCTCCCCCCGAGCCAGGCCAAGGCTCCTCTGCGTCCTGGAGGTGACTTGGTTAGATCACAGGTCTTGTTCTGTGTTTCTGGTTGTCCTCAGTGAATGAAAGGATGGCAAGACAACTGGAAAAACTGGATATTTTTCATTTTCCAGTGCTTGTTTTTCATGTGTTAATAAGGTAAGCTCTAAAATTGTAAATTATGAACGTTTCTCTGTACTAATATCTTCCTGTTTTAAATTAGCAATTGATGTGATTTTCTTAAATGATTGTCCATGGGTGAATAAAATTCCTTGTTGAGAGGTAAGTTAAAAGTGACACTCTGATCTTCCTAGTCCTCAACCCCCCCCCCCCCCCTTAAGTTGATAGCTGAGAATTGACCCCCAAAGTTAGGTTGCAAACTGAAGAACCTTCCCAGCACATTCCCATAGCCATAATTGATGGATATTTTCCCAGACTTCAACTAGTGCTGGGGTCTCCAACTTGTCAACAGGCTGCGCCAGAACGTCAGCTAACATCAACTGAAGTCCAAAGGTCAGCAACACCATGGCAGCCTTCACCGACCCCGTTCTCCGCATTTTGACCATGAGTTGTCCTACCATAGTGCAGTGCTGAGCTACACAGCAGACAGTGGTATCATGAAGCCCCGTGGTCCCCAGCATGGTCTAAATGCCAAATAAGCGTCTTCTGACGATTCTGCATGTCTCTTGGCCCAGATTTCAGCAGTATATGTCCAGGTCCTACTGGAGCTGTAATCCGAACCATAAGTTGGAGGTGGGGTGTCTTGGCCGGATGAGTCACCTGTGACAGCTCATCATTGGCTTCACATATGAGTGGGTTGTGACCCCCCCCCCCGTGCAGAGCTACTGTCCAGTAGGTTTTCTATCCTACCTGGCTTCTCAGGTAAATAACAGGAACAGGTGTGGCTCACCAGAGGCCAGGTAGGATAGAAAACCTACTGGACAGTAGCTCTCCAGAACCGGAGTTGGAGACCCCTGAACTAGAGCCACTGCCATGGCTAACCAATGACAAGCAGCTTTCTGAGTATCTTAATTTGAGGTTGAGTGAGAAGGGGGCGGGGCTTGTCCCAGAACCTTCCCTTCCTGGCCACCTTCAAGGACCTTTTTGCAATAATCCCAGAGATTCAGTGTAAAGTTCCTGGTGTTTAGATGCAGATTAGGCTTTGATTATGAGTCAAACATTATCACATTGAAGAGGGCAAAGTGGAAAAGGTAGTGTTTCCTATCACCAAAATCTCTTAGTAGAAGCAATCTCTTTTCCAGTCTCCATGAAAAGAGTCAAATTTGCCCGCCCCTTCCCCCAAGCGGACAATTTCACACCCCTCTGAATCGTCTCTCCAAGGTCAGACACAACCAGCGGCACATCGATCTGCAGCACCCCCACGTTTGCGCGCTGGAGTCGCGCGGATAAGCGGGATTATGACATGAAGATGCATGGTGCCCCCCAAGCTTCATGTTAACAGGTGAATAACAGGTCCTTTGTCTGGATTACATTAGTTTTTATATATGCTCTGTGGAGTTTCATATGAAATTATGCATTTTGGAAATACTTAATTATAATTCCAGGCATCATGCAATACCTTTAAACTCTTTGAAATTTTGTAAACCTTGTGATGGCTATAGCTGGTGGGGGTATAGTACTGCCCTGTGGGGTCAATGGAAATTCCCGGGGGGGGGAAGCTCCAAGGAAAACCGAATGGGGGAGATTTCTTGTAATATAGGCAGGATAATGGGCAGCTCAGCTGACAGTACCCTCAGCAAAACACACAACATGGGGGGGGCTTGTGGCCACTGGGCCCTAAGCAGCTGCTTAATTCGCTTATGGTTTGGCCGTAGCAGCACATATAGGGTGGTGAAACCTCCAGTAACTAAGGGGGGGGGTCTGGAATCATAACTCTGCCAAGATAGGAACAGAAAGCCATCCGAACAGGGTGAGAATGCAAGGGTGGTATACACATTGTTACACATTTCCCGCAAGGGTGGTATACACATTGTTACACATTTCCCGCAAGGGTGGTATACACATTGTTACGCATTTCCCGCAAGGGTGGTATACACATTGTTACACATTTCCGGAGTGTCTCAGGGGGAGTGACCGCATTCAATTACCGGATTTGGTTAATTTTGGGAAAGACGGTGTCTGGGTCGTATAGGTCTATCTCCCAGAGATTCTCCTTATTCTCTGATAAACAGATGAATCCCAAGCAAACTTGGCGATGAAACACCTTGATGGCGGGACCAACCGGGACCCTAACCCTAACCCTAACCCTAACCCTAACCGCCTTTGTGGGAAGTGAGCTGAGACATCGATGCCAACGATCCCCAAAGACTGAGCGGGAAATGGCTCCCTGCCTGCTCCCAGAACATGAAACTCCAGCCTGTATTTCTGCTAAATTTCCTACCTCCATTCGTCAGTGGTAAGAAAAAAAAAACGGAGTAAAAAAAAAAAAAACTAACCAGTCAAGTTAAATCCATGTGACAACAAAGCGGCTTGACATTCGTCTGTGTCCCGCGCGGCCGCTAGCTGTTTGCTGTCTGACGTCCGCGCGCCTCCTCTCATTGTGGCCCCGCAGAATGTTTGTTTGGCGCGGCAGCGGAATCGCGCTGGTGTGAAAGCCTGAATTTTAATGCCATGGCCTGGCATAATAAAGCTGACTCTCTCTCCTCCTCTCTTCCTCTCCCTCTCTCCCTCTTTGTTTCTGTCTCAGCCCTTTGCTCATTTCCGACTCCCTCTTTGAAGACAATTCAGCATGAAAGCGGGTAATGCGATTATCTACTTGTGTGCGTTTTCGGTATTAAAATTCTGAGTTATAATAGGTGTCAATAAGTCTGCCTAAGCAATAGATTTCCTCAAACGTTTCCTATTGGCCCGTATCTTAATAAAACTTTATCTTGTCCAGACTTATCTGGTATGGGTGAAACTGATAAATGGTTAATGGTCAGTGTGAAATTACTTGGCCCCCATGTCTACCGAAATGTGTCTAAATATCTGTTGTGGGTTAAAATTGCCTCTCGACTGTGGTTTACGCGGCTCCATTTCTGTGGTGCATTATTCCACTCTTCGCCATGTCGGCTAGCGGCAGATTACCGGGCCCGGGTTGATGGGCCGGTGTCTCGGCGATGGGAGGGGGGGCAGGCCCTGACGGAATCTCGACGCCCGGCCGAGCGTGTGACAGCGGTTTAATCATGATTACCGCGCCCGTGCCGGAGCTCTTGGGAGGGCCACGCGACGGCACCAGAGCACTGCCGCTGTAATGAGGCCGGCTCTCACGGTGGCAGCGGTGGAGGGGAATTAGGGGGCAGTGCGACATTTCGGCTAAGGCATTCTCGCAGGGCGCTGCCCCGGCTCACCGCAGGTGTACCTAACAGCCTCCATTTAACCAGGAGTCCTGGAAGCTGTGCAGCCATGACAAAAACACTTCCTGTTGTTATTCCGAGCTAGCTAGCTGGCTGTTTGTGTTTTATTTGTATTTTGTTGTGTATTCAAAATATGCATCTGCCTGCCTGCCATTCTCTCTGTCTGACACTGTATTTTATTTGTATCTTGTTATTATTCACGTGTGCAAAATAATTAAAGTGATTTTGACGCCCATCAGTAGCTTCCCCTGAATTTAGCTACCTGCTGCTCAGCGCCCACCTGCCGCGGTCCGTGTGTGACTCTTGGAGCTCCAAGCGGTGAGCCTCGCTGCAGATTGAGGGGCCGATGCACCATCAGCCGAAAGTTCTCCCTTAATGTGTTTTCTTCGTACTTAATTAGTGGTGGACTATTGAGTTTCCCAGGGTGCCACGCTGCTGTCTTTGTAAACGGACCGCTGGGCCGTGTGGGGGAGGCGCCAAGCCTTGCATCCAGCTGTAAGTGCTCTGTTGAAAAGGGTTCTAAATAATAGATAAAATTATAGATAAAAGGTATGACATTTCCTCTCCCATTCTTCTTCCATGTTAATAAAAGGCCCTAATAAGATGGTGACCTTTTTGCGATGGATTTGTAAATGTCAGAAAGTGGGGGGCTCCCGCTCGAGCTCCCGTACCCCGCCTCTATCCACACGCGGGACAGACACCTTAAACGTTTTGGCCTGTGAGGGAGGCACAGCACGAGGGGATTGGCTGTCACTGTTCCCCAAATCTTTGGCAGTATAGCCTATTGAATTCAGGCTCCTGACCATTAGCTGGCTCCCTTCAGATAATTCTCATTTTGTCCGCAGCCCAGCTGGAAAAATTTCCACAATTCAACTCTGAAATGTAGAACCACAACCTGAAACTTGTTTCATCTGCTTTTTTCACCAGCAAACAAATGCGTTGGCCATTTTGGGTCCTATTTATCGGTCACCCATAATTTATGCAAATCAACACTAATTACCAGCTCCTTGATGAGATGGGGAGGGGGGGGGGGTCACAACCCACTCATATGTGAAGCCAATGATGAGCTGTCCCAGGTGACTCATCCGGCCAAGACACCCCACCTCCAACTTATGGTTCGGATTACAGCTCCAGTAGGACCTGGACATATCCTGCTGAAATCTGGGCCAAGAGACATGCAGAATCGTCAGAAGACGCTTATTTGGCATTTAGACCATGCTGGGGACCACGGGACTTCATGATACCACTGTCTGCTGTGTAGCTCAGCACTGCACTATGGTAGGACAACTCATGGTCAAAATGCGGAGAACGGGGTCGGTGAAGGCTGCCATGGCGTTGCTGACCTTTGGACTTCAGTTGATGTTAGCTGACGTTCTGGCGCAGCCTGTTGACAAATTAACCCTCAAATAGCAGGTTGTTAGATAGGCACGGTCCTGCTGCATCAAAGGTCTGGACAGGGTTACGGTCCGATTTCAAAGGCTGAGCTGCCAGCCTCCACGTGTCCAGCCAGATGGTAGAATGCCAGAAGCTGCAGGTGGCTCCTGGACGATGGTTCTGAGACATCGCTGCTTCAGAGCCTCGTCCAAAGGGGGATTCCTGCTGGAGGCCCCTGATCGTAGCTCAGCGGAGCTGCGTTCCGCATTCCCTGTATAGATGCTTCAAAGTGGGCTGGGATTAATTATTCATTAAGCTTCCTTTGATATGAGGGGAAGCTGGATAAGAGTGAGTGTGACTCTTGGGGTGCGGTGGAGAGGCGCGGATTGCCGAGGCAAAATGAACTTTTCTGTGTGGAGTGCGGTACAACCTGGGGTGAGTATGGACATGGTGGTGGAATATCCTTTACTGACAAGCTACTCAACTGGATCAACTACATCTTGTTACCCCCCCCCCCCCTCCAGACCATCCCAAATCCCAGAATTCCCTGCTGGCTTTCCTCGAGGCTGCACGTATGTCTGAGGGTTTCATTCCCAGCCTCTATACTCTGCTCCAAATGTGTTCATTAGGTACCTCCAGGAGTGGGGCAGTCAGGCATCTCCTGGCTCGGAATGGTGCCATAGAGAGCAAATAGAATCTCAGGATGGCTTTGAAAGCACCTCAATTAAAGATATCTTCTTAGAGGGGTTAGCGCTTGGAGTTCAATTTGAGCGGTCCTCTTTGATCCTCCGGGATTAAACGCCAAAGCTGACACCCTACTCGTTCTGACTCTGACGACGATGCTCTCGTGGAAGACAGATCCTCTGACCTGAAGGAGAGATAAGAGAAACCCCCTCTTGGAATCTTGGGTCAGGGTTAGCCCTCCAGCAGCATCATCCAAAATCATGTAAAATGGCACGTTGATGCCTGGCCACCTGTAACATGAGAGTGTGGCATAGTCTGCACTATAGCTAACCTCCCCCCACCGACAGCCGCTCTGTTTATGCCTCATTTGTCATTCGGGAAGAACAGAGGTGGTCAGAGAACACAAGCTACTCAGATCAGTTTGGATTATCTCTCCCATCCTTGTCGCGATGATCATTTTTCTTTTCTGACATAGATAGCTTGTGATTCCGCCATAGCCCCCAGTCATCCTTTGACAAACCATCAAGGTTGTTTCTTTTGTGTCTCCAGCAGTCGAAAATTGGAACTGGTTTGAATATAACTATGTAAGTAGTGATTCCATGCTCGTTCAAACGTTCCTATGCAGGAGTGTTTCTCAACTCAGTCCTCAGGGAGCCCCAGACATTTTCGCTCCCTGCCAGCTCCCAGCACACCTGAACTAAACAATCGAGTACATAGAATACCTGGACCAAACAATCAAGAACATAGAATACCTGAACCAACCAATCAAGAACATAGAATACCTGAACCAAACAATCAAGAACATAGAATACCTGGACCAAACAATGAAGAACACAAAATACCTTAACTAAACGATTGAGAATGCCGAATACCTAAGCCAAACAATCAAGAACATAGAATAACTGAACCAACACAGAATGACAATGACAACACAGAATACCTGGTACAGCTGTGTTGGGAGCTAAGAAGGAGCAAAAATGTAGACTGTGGCTCCTGAAGACTGAGCTGAGAAAAACTGTTATACGGGAAGAAGGTTTGAAGGAACTTAGGCTGTGGAGGGTTTGTCATGGAAAGTGGCCTGGCTATGACTGAACACAGGACAGATCAGAGAACGTTTAGAATGATATGATACCTTAATATATAAATTAATATATTCTGCTACCAGGTCTAGTGATTCCTAATTATTGTCGTTCATATGGTAAAACTTTATCTATAAATGGCAGTAATATTTTAAACATGGTGCAATTAAATTTGCTCTTGATAGAAGTCATTTTAATTATTCTGAAATCAAGCATTGTGGGTTTTGTTTTTTTTTGTCATTAATTTTTAAATTTGGGTTCTGTGGACATGAATAATGTCACAGTAGCAGCGCTGCGTCCCTTTTTATACTGTTATAAAACTGCAGGAAACTTTTCCCACATTCTTGCAAGTTGCTTAATAAAGACGAAGCCTCAGGAGTGACTCTCGACTTTAACTTATTTGCTGATGGTATTTAAAAGGTGCTGTTTTTTGGTTTCAGTCTCTTGTTTGACAAGCTGTAATTAAAGCCACTGCGATTCGGGAGAAGAAAAATAAAATGCCATTTGAATGTCAAACAAGGATAAGACTGCTAATTAGAAGTGCCATTTGAAGTGCTTTGGCTTTTTGGTTGTTTTAAAATATTTCCACAACCTATGAGAAACACAGTGGGACATGCAGATATTTCTTCTAACGCATTTTTAATGGACTTGCTGCACGTTTAGATCAAAGACCACGGATTTAAATGTCTCCATTTATCCATCCATCCAACCACCCATAACCATTTAATCAGTACAGGGTCACAGCCAGCCTGGAGCCTATTGCAGAAAAATTAGTCACAAGAAAGGATACTCACTGGACTGGATGCCGGTTTGTCACAAGGCAGATTCAGAATCACACATAATGCACAGTTAAAAGTAGCATTTCTCAAACCAGTCTCTGACTGGGAGCTTGGAGGGAGCAAAGAAGTGGACAATCTGGGGATTCCCGAGGAGAGGGTTGAAAAACGCTGGTTTAGAGACGCCGCATGGCTTTGGAGTGTAGGGGTACCTGAAGGAAACCCATACAAACACAGAACATCTGTGTAGAGCATTCCCTTGTTTGATACTTGCTCTGGCAGGACTTAACCATACCTCTGAAGTATGCGTGAATAACACTGTCACGCCAATTACCACCTGCTTATATCATATTTAATGGCAGGCTCCCCCTCTGACACATTCTCTAAGGACCTCTGTAGGTTACCATGAATGCTGCCTGAAGCGGTGGGCTGTTTCTAAATGGCTTTGTTCCCCTTGAAAAACTTTGTCAGTACATGGAGTACGCTTCTCCCGTCTGACCGCTCGCCGTCGTGTTTTCCTTCCTCTCCTCTGAGGACGGCGCAGAGGTGGCATTCATTATGCACTACTTGTAATCGCCATCAAAAATTAAAATCTACCCACTTGTGGTGTTGATGTTTTATTTAGCGCCGATGCATTATTCATTTAGGCTTGCAAACAGAAGACAAACACCATTTCACGTGCTGGCGTGTCATTGAGGGAACACATATCGTTCAATCCAAACTGGTAATCCAGTTCATCCTAGTCGTGACTTCTCCAGGACTTCCAAGGGCCCAGAAGATTGAACCGACGCCATGGTTTCACGTGCCAAACCCAGCCACCAGTGAGTCAGGTATGCGGTTTGGAGAGTTCGACAATAAAGAATCATGTCAGCTGAGGTCTTTCACCTGAGAGTGAGGGGCATGTGTGGGTCTTTTTTCTGTTGCCCTTTCCATTTGCTTTCATGCACTTCCCCCGGTCGACATTTGCTTGTGTATTTAATGTTCATTAGTGTTAATTCTTGTCTCCCCTTTGAGCGTGCGGGGGGGGGGGGGCGCACTGCCCTTGTTTTCTCTGTGGGTGTCAGATCTCCGGGTAAAAAGCTTTTATCTTCTCGGGTGTTTACAGTCACCATTGTTATGTCCCCGCTGACGTGGCAGCCTGTTGACACGCTTCGCTTGTTTGCTTGTTTGTTTGTTTATTGGTTTACTTGATAGCGGGTGGCACGTATTGATAACATTGCTGTGAATGTCCCAGAGTGATCTGGAAGGCTAGTTCTTACCTGTGGTCAATTCCAATTCAATTCAATTCATCTTTTGTTGTATAGCGCCTTTCACATGTGTCAATATCCATCATTACATCATTTATACAGAAGGAAAGAAGGCGAGCCAGAAGACAGCAGAGGGGAGACATCAAAACAGCCTATATAGGAAGGAAAACACCCTCCTTCCCTGGGTTCTCTTTGTTAACAGAAGAGCACAAACAAAGATTTAAAAAATCTCGAAACGGTAAAATATAAAGACATACAATAAAAGCAAAAAACTTACACTCAATACAACTGAAAAATAAAGGCACTTATACTAAATACAAAAGCAAATAAGGTGAGACCTGTTAAAGGGGACTTGCATGTTAGCATTTAACCATTCGAACGAGGAGATAATTGCTGAGGGTCATTCCTGGGGTTTTACAAAGGGGAGGGGAGCCCACCTGGGACGCCCACCGTGAAGTCCGGAAGTCTGCCTGGTGCCGTGTCGCATGCTGCCAGTCCGAGGAAGGCGGATGGGTCACGAGGCACTTTGATGCGCCGCATCCGACCCTCCAACGGGGCGTGGAAATCGAGGGCCACCGCCGGTGCACTCTGTGACTCTCCTAAGTGGAACAGTGACATTTTCTGGGTGAGAAACGCCGGCTTGAAAGCCTCCTTCCTCCCCCCCCCAGCGCTGCCTTCAACTGCTGAGTGCTCTTCCCGTGAAAAGGTACTAATGGGAAGAGCACAGAGAAACACCAGCGGTGCTCTCGGCCGGGCACAGATCCCCACCCGCACTCATTTCTGTGCCTGCAGATAAAATGCTTTGATGCCCCTCATCATTTTTTTCTCTTTGCCATCCATAACAAGATGCAAAACAGGGCAAGAAAATCACGTCTCAAGAAAACCGACAAGTCCTGTATTTCTCCAGGAAATTCAAATTCGTTCCTCAGCTGGGGTGTGTGTGTGTGTGTGTGTTTGTTTGTAATTATTACATTGTGGGGATATTTGTTCGGGCCCGACAAGGATGACCTCAATCTTATAAAAAGCTGCAACTGCAATCAAAAGCTAAAAATGCCAAAAGTCATCTTGTTTTGTTTTGTTACTGATGGTTAAGCTTAGGGCTGGGTAGGGGATAAGATTGTTATTGTTGGGATTAGGCTTATGCCCATAGAAATGAATGGAGGCTTCCCATAAAGATATGAATATGTGAACTGTGTGTGCGTGTGTGTGTCTGTACCATCCCAGCCATCTTTATTCTTCACTCCAAATTTGCCCTGCGTCTAGACCAGCGTCCACAATGCTTCTGATTGCCTGTCCTTTTCTTTGCCCTCGGCTAAATTTGCAGCACCGAATGGAGTCCCTGAGATTCTGAAGACCGACAGAGAGTGGCCGCTCATCCGGTGATCCGTAAAACGTGCGTTCCCGCCGCAGTGAGGTCGCTTCCGGTCAACGCGGAACAATCCTCGTGGCGGCCTGTTGGGGGCGGCGCTGGCCGGCTGTGCGCAGGGTGAGTGACGTGCGTGGAATATGCTTGTACCCATCCCATTTTCATTTTTGTTTCGTTATTCCCTAGTGCAGGTTCGTCAATGACATAAGGCGTGCCTGTTTCAGCATCGAAAAATCCTCAGGTGAGTGGAGACAACCTCTAAAAAACACATTTTACAAGCAAGGCAAGCATCTCCTTACGTTTCAGTACAGATGTTGGAGTAACGTGCTACACCCATGAAAATGGGGAGAAATAATCATAAAATTACAGAGCGATATTAGTAGTGAGAGCATTTACGCGAATGTTTTGTCAAACACGTACATAATTCACAAAACATTCACAAAACGAATGGTTTGTAGTGGAATACCTTATGTAAACATATTTAAATTACAACCATATGTAGAATCTCACTTAGGCTTAATTGTTTAATAAATAGACTAACAACTGTACAATTCACAGAACATATACAAGTTACCAGACGAACAACATTCAAAACAACCAAGTAAAACACATTTAGGTATGTGCGTATGTAAGTTCACAGAATAGCGGGCGAAACCCGCTAATAAACGGGCTTACACGCACATTAAATAACATACCCAGTAAAGCTTAACTTTATTTTACCTGAAATCTACATACAGTACACCTTCGCGAAACACTAACTTACACTGGAAAATTATTATAAATCATTTGACTGTGCAAAATACCGTCGACATACCTTAAAATGGGGAGAAATGATCACAAATGATCTCCAATGCGGAAAATATCGTGATCTATTCTTGAGAAAAATACCGCGATCTGCCTGGGTATGTGGGTGGAGACAAAAGGAATCTATCCCAGACTCGCAGATCAAGACCATTTTACAGGTCACAGATAATAAAATCACAGTTCAACTTTGAACAATAAAGGATGATGCAAATAATGAAGTAATTAAAAGTTAATGTTAAAACCCATCTTTAACTCTTTTAACATAATATGAATTTTTACATAATTTACATTTTACATTTAACATATTATGAAGTTTTAAACACGTACATCTTATGAATGGTTTCCCATAACCATATGATCCCATTAATCTTATCAGTCTCTTTTAGTCTTGGAACATAATACAAATCCACTGGCTGCTTAAACTTGTAACAAACCCTTAACATATTTTTTGTTACATAATTTTTATATATAGTTTTATATAGTTTTTTCCATACCTTAAGCATTGAAGTCCTTGTATAAGATGCTGCACTGGTGTTTTTTGTGATGGGATGTTACTGTAGCATTTAGTGTTTCAAACTCCAAAAGCGCAGAAACACATTTACCTATTAACGTTTTGAGAAATCAGCACAGCAGGCAAGCACGGTGGTGCAGATGTTGCCTCACATCTGGACACCAGGATTCAAGTCTCCGCTCTGCCTCTACGTGTGTGGAGTTTGTTCTCCCCGTGTCATTGTGGGGTTTCCTCTGGGTCCTGTGGTGTCCCTCCTACAGTCCCAAACCCAGTGCAGTTTGAAGCTACTGAAAAGATCAGGGGCTTTGTCAAGTTTACCTCAAGTTTTTTCGAAGGAGGATCGGGACTAAACTTCTCAGGGCTAGACTAGATCTAACAACGTCCATGCTCAAAACATACTAGGGTGGATTGGAGTTATCAAATTGTGTGTGTGTGTGTCTGTGTGTGTGTGTGTGTGTGTGTGTGTGTGTGTTGGCACCCTGTCCTGGGTTATTCCTTGCCTTGCATCCATAGCTTCCGGGATAGTCTCTGGACCCCCCCACAACCCTGAAAACGACAAGTGGGTATGGAAGATGGATGGAACAGAGTATGGCACAGAGGGGGGTTAACAGGAAAAAGGTGGGTAAGAAGCTTGCAGTCCTGGAAACTCCAGTAGATGGTCATCTGTCATCACTCTCGGAGAGTGCCGCCAGCAGTACTCTGAGGGGTGACTTATATTCACAGGCTGACACCAGCAGCATGTTCACTGACCTGACAGATGTGAAGGTGTGTCCGCAGCAACGGGTCAGGATGATGGAAATCCACATGCTTTTTGAGGCAAACCTCTACCAAAGTGGCAGCTAGTTTAAGTCGGGAGAGGTGATTTCCCAGTAGCGGTAGGCTAATTGTGGCCCTCTCTGGCCCGTCTCCTAGCAGCGTAATAAGCTTACTTTAATAATTAATGACCATGAGGACAGCTTGGGGGCAGAGTCGGCTTAATTTAATAATTCAGACGCTGACGGGAAGGGGAGACCCGAAGCTGAGAGTGTCCTCTCTGCCGTTCCGCGACGGGCCTCACGAACCGCGGAACTGACATGATCCGAAGCTGCGTTAAGAAACAGAACGGCGGATGATTGATCCCCCGAAAAGGGAAGGTCAGAGCCACACAGGTGGACCCACTATTCCCTCGAGAGGAAGCCGCCGGGTCCCATTGGCTCCCCCACCACGTCTGAGGGGAGGGGCGACTCCCAGGACTCCACTCACACGGCAGAGGCTCTGTCGGACTAAAGAGAGGCCGTCACGGGGTCAGCCGTCTCCGACGAGAGCGACTGTCACAGAGATGTATGATGTCACAGAGATGTGTGGGCCACTTAACCAATAAGGCTTTAAATTAAAAATGTCTCCCGACTTTATCTTTCAGCCTTACCAAATATTAATTCCTCAGAGTAAAAGTCCTACTGATCTGGCTTTCATGAAGTGAAAATAACCACGAGACAAGCTTTTCTGACAGCTATTTTAAAAAGGTTGTTTTTCTACTGATTTAGAATTTTAAGCTATGTTTGGGTTTAGATACTTATAAAAATGACTCTAGCACTTAAGAGTAAATTTAGAGTATAGGACTGTGAAATAACAAATGGATGAACATATTAGCTCAGTACATAAAAGGATTGGTGATGTGCTTCCTGCCTCCTTCCTGTTCCCCCCAAGGAAGCCCAGGGCCCACCACCAGGATAGCTAACTGTACCACTTTAATCCATTTGACACGCCAGTCATCCTGGAGTGTATACAGGGGCAGGGCCACAGGTGTACAGGCCCCAGCTGAAAGCTGATTGGTCGCCAGAGTGCCCTATTTCTTGTCATTCACCAATTCAAAATGTATCATTGGCTAACGATAAGATTGGCACCTCTGTATGAATTTTGGCCCCTCCCATGCTCCCAAAAAAATCCTATAATTGCCACAGTCTACTTCCACAAGGAAGGATGTTGATGCCACATGACTATGCAGGCGGAGCACAGGAAATGAGGGGTTCCAACGTGCTTTGAATTGTGGGTCAGCCCTGATGGGGGGGGGGGGAGAGAGAGAGAATATATGCAAAGACATACATCCAGCAAACAAAAACCCTGAATATACAAAATGCTTTTTGATTTGCTTCCAAAAACTACAACATACAAACACATAGGCATTTGCATATACAAAAGGTTATAACAAACTTGTACCAAGGTTATTGTGCAAGTTTTTGTTTAAAACTGCATCAATATGAAGGTTCATCTGTAATAATATTCACCTTTTTAATGTCCTCACATAAAGTGTAGATGAATGCGCTTTAAATCTGGCAAAGCCAGACCCCGCTGGCTTATTGTACACTTATCTTTGGGGACACCGTCCTTGTTACTGCTCCAGAAACTGTTAAATAGGCTGTTGTTTGTTAGAGATTTTGCGGCTTCATCTGCTCTGTGTTTTGTCTGTAATTGCCTTTTTTTTTATTTAAATCTCGTCTCCCTCATTTTTCCCCATAATTACCAGTGTCACACTCTCGCTTTTTCTTCCTGCATGAGGTGTATAAAAGCTGCATTTAAGGAGCGGCATTCTGAAGGTTAATGAAATGATTCACTCCAGTTAATACATTTCTGCGTCACGTTCAGCCATTTCAATTTGTGCTAATTTCTACCTCCTTCTTAGAGCTGCTTCACTTTCCTGATATCCGTTTATATCCGAAATACCAGGTGTTGCTCTTAATGGCCATTAATGTTTAAATTATGTTTTAAAAGATGGGATTTGCAATCAGGACATCTCCATAATGATGGAGGCAGCTGAGAAACCAGGGTCAGATTAAAAATGCTCGTCGTATTAATAGTCAAATTCCTCAGATGATTATACATACATTTTATGTGAAATAGTTCCTGTTTACATTTTTGGCTTAAACCTACCTAACTGTACTGCTTCTCTTCATGTTTTTTGTAGAATGCATATTTTCTGTGCACATTTTATATTCACGTCTGGAATGGCAATACAGTGGTAAACTGGTACTACTTGGTTTTGGGCTCTGCCACAGTTATAATTGGGTGTTTCTATTTCTCCTGCAGCGAGGGTCAGAAATGTTAATGAGGAACATCTCAGAGAGCATCCGGTAACCCTGCATACTCCTCTAATACACAGCCGGGTGAGTATCTTCACCACATCTCACCACTTGCACTCTTGCACACTTGCACTCCTCCTTCATTTGTGGGTTATTTTATTCATTTACTTTCTGCCGCACCAGCTCAAATTTCAATATGCCTCTTGGTACATTTTACATTTCCGCATAAAAACGGAATTCCAAGCACATGCACATGTATATTTTTTTTATTGTGTTCCAAGACATATGTGAAAATCACGTCTTGGTTTTTTTCCCCATATTCTTTTTTATGTTCATTGCATATCATTTCATTTGAAGTCTCATTTGATTTCCCCCAAAGAAAAGGCAGTGTTACATTCCCACTAATCAAAAAGATGTTTGGTTCCATTAACCAGAAAGAAAAAGACCTCAATCTTTCCTTTGTCTGGATCTGTAATGAGAGCTATGTCCCCAAAGACATTTCTTCAGTAAGTCGGAATGGTGGGGTATTCCAGATTTAAAGAGCAGGCATGAAACAACACTTCACTGCTAAGAAAAAAAAAATTACATTGTTTGTCTCTGTGGCAACATTATATGTTCAGACATTCATTGCTTCAGAAGTACAAAAAGTTAAACCCTCTCTTGGAATTGTGGTCATGAGATATATCTTTGTGGGCAACATGTGGGGTACAGTTCCCTCTTCTGTGGGTGATTTTTACCCAGCTACAATTCTATTCCATTTCCACTGAGTAGACAGAGTCCCCAGATTGTATAAATCCTCCTGACCTTGAGGCCTGTAGAGACACAGGAAGTCCCACTGGCTATCGTGAAGGCAGGTAATCAAGAGCATGGAATCAAAGGAGCTCTGAAGAAGAATTACTCTGAACTTGAGGTTGAAAAGCAGTAGCAACCAGTCCTAGAAGCCATCAGCAATGATCAGGTCCCCCCCGGAGAGTCTCCGATTTAACGCTCACTCCATCCCTGAGTACATCTGTGTTTCTCAGAGCTTCCGTAAGTCTTCCAATCAAGCTTCGTGGGGAAGAAACGTTCAGCAGACAAAATGTGAAAACACCTATGGATCGCCAAGGTCTTCCGTCTGCCGACAATTTGTACATCGGGAAGCTCTTGTCAGCACCTTCATGGTGGGAACCCTGCCCAGATCAGAAGCAATCAGCCATGTGGTTGATGAGATCTGAGGTGCATCGCTGGGCTGAATCACCAGTGTTAGGATCCACAGCAGGATACCAAGCTTGGTTGGGAGGTTGGGGGCAAAGAGAACTGAAACAGTCATGTTTTTTAATGAGCGGTCTCAGAGAGCGCTTGAAGCGTAGCACGTCAGCGTGAGACATGACTAACAGTACTCCTAGTCAGTCTGGGCTCTGGACCCCTGGCGAGCTCATTTTCATTCATCCCGCCCAACCAGTGTGCCCATGTTCGGGAAAACCAATGTCGATTTTCACACGAACCCCAAGAAGGCCCTAACAGATGAGGCTTTAAAGGTGCTGAGTGCTCTGTGCCAATGCCTGAACACGCACTCTCACCCCCTTACTGGGCTTCGGCGTGATCCAGTGGGACCGACTTTCCATTCTCTCTTTGAAAACCAGTTTGAATTACAGCCTTCTGGCAAAATACTGTTTCTGTTCAAGGCTCCTCTGATCAGACATAACTTGCAGAATTTTTTTGTCCGTTTATTATCTGCGTGATGTTGAGCACTTACTGTATACTACTGGAAATCCCCTCAACTCCAGTGATTTTTGGATCAGAATGTTTGCATTGATAATAGCACTTGGGAGGGAGCAATCAAGGGCAATCTAGGACAGAACCAATATGGAATGTGAGAATGAGGAGCAGGACGAGTGCATGACGTAGCATTACCCCCCCCCCCCACCTCTTCCCCTGACACAGTCTTCTGAAATACAGTCAACAAAACAACAAAAAAAAACAACTGATTTCAAGCACCAGTTATGCGACAACAAGAACTGCGAGAGAAGGTGTTTCAAGACTAGGTTCTCAAATTCAGACCTACAGGCTAATAATTCCCTGCAAAATGCAGCCTTGGGGTAAATTATTACTCATAGATGGAAAAAAGTCAATAAAATGCTGAAAGGCACAATGAATACATATTGCATTAATTCCTGTCATGTTTCATCACCTGGAAAGGTCTTCACTGTGCACTGTGCACTTACTACAATGAAATCATAATCATTGTTTGGTGCGTGACATGTCACTGTACTTTATATGTCCTAAAAGACTTTTTAATAGTTTTAAATCTGACTTGCAGTAATGTGCACTGCAGTGAAAATGTTAACTTGCATTTTTGCACCTAGCAAGCACATTTATGAACAGAGCATCTAATTTCTTTGTGCAGTACAAATAAGTATATCTGTCTGTATGCAGGTTTGGCCTCTGTATATAGGTCCCTATGTCTATGTACAGTACATACAGGCCAGTATGTCTATGTACTCTACAATCATGTCTGTCCCTCTATGTATACAGGTCAGTATGTATACAGTATGTATACTATATACAGTTCTGCAGATAGGTGTCCAGGTATACCTGTATATTTCAACGTATGGAATTCCTGGACATGGCCTTTTAATTCACATTTAGTTTCCCCATTGAAATTTGTCTTACCTGCCGTATGCACATAGCAATTAAACACCACAGAGCGTATACTGCAAGTTCAGATAATTAATTGAAAGATGCAGATATAAGGTAATTATAGTAATCCAATGAAATCTGTTACACTAGCAAACTCAAATTGTGGCAATAAATTTTAATAATTGTATTCCCTTTCGGAGGAAATGCTTTATCTACATATTCAGTGAATTGCTTCTCAAGTTGTCTTTTGAAAGGAACTAATCATTTGAGAGTACGGGGGAGAACACAAGTGTAATTAATTTACCTGTGTTCAGCATGTCCTTTGAAAAATGTGGAGTGTTTTTAATGGGATTCCTTGAGTTTCTGTGGATAGTCCTAAATTGTTGCCTGCAAACCTTTTTTCTTTGTTTTCTAATTAACTGTGTTGAGTATTCTTTGTGACCCTGACCCAGAGAAGTAGTTTGTAGATGGATGGGTGGGCGTCTTGAATATCGATGATGTATAGTACATATACATCAGTATATGTAATAAATAAACGTATGTATAAATTGTATATGTCTAGGTCATGACATTTTGTCAACCAATTCAATCATCAATATTTTATTTAGCAGAGTACATTTTTACATGCCAATGTACCACAAAGTGATTCAGTGTGATTGTATGTACTTCTGAGGAAAATCAAGAAACGGCTATAGCAGCAATATTGCGGGG